ATGTTGAATAGACAGCTGGATATATGGGTCAAAGAAGTCTCAGCTGAAGACACACATTTGGGTATCATGGTGTGCTGAAGTCACTTAAAGTTAGGACTTAGAAAGAAAACTGAGGGACTGGGTCTTGAAGAACCCCAACATTCTGTGGTCAGGTAGAAAGGGATGGCCCTAAAAAGGACACAAAATAAACTATCAGAAAAAAGATGAAAAAAACCATAAGATATATACCTTAAGAGGTGAATGAAAGAAAGGAAACTCTTATCAGAAGGCCTCAATCTGTCCAATAAGTACAAAGGTTTAGAATGAGAAGAGTAGGGTGGATTTGAGGATTACAAAAGGAAAAATATCTAGGACATTAGGTTATAATGTTCTCACATGTGACAGTATCACAAAAAATTAAAATTAAAAAAAGAACGAGTGGAAGAAAACAAGAATTTGCTAAAGTCTAGAAGGGCCAAGTCCAGATGATTCTTAAAGGGTTAGTGAGTCTTCCCTCTGCCCTTATTAATGTTCACTATTTGTTAGCACAGAGCTCTCTAATGCTATACTCTGTAAACTGTGATACTGTTAAACAGAAAATGACTTTGTGTATGGCAGAAAAAACATTAAGGTAAAAAAACTTAAGGGCAAAACAGACAGAATCCTCAATTACTATACTCTTATAAAAGAAGGTGACAGAACTAATTCAAATTTTATTTCTTTTAAGATCACTTAGGGGCACCTGGGTAGCTCAGTGTGTTAAGCATCTGACTCTTGATTTGGCACAGGTTATGATCTCCTGGTTCATGAGATTGAGTACCAGATTGGGCTCTGTGCTGGCAGCATGGAGACTGCTTGGGATTCTTTCTCTTTCTCAAAATAAATAAACATTAAAAAAATTAAAGTCATTTCGTTAGAATGTGATTGAATTTTACCTGTTCTTTCTTCTAACTTAGCATACTTTGGAGTATTACACATGTTACACTCTGATCTTCTGGCCCAATTCACATTACTGCACCTTTGGAAGGGAAAAATACCAAATTAGTAGACTATAACACCACAAAGAGTTAATTTCTAGACAGTTTAGAATTTTAAAATAAAAACTAGGATAAAACCACTACCATAAAGAAATATTTATTAAGGATAATGTAAACAAAGAAAATGTACTAGTGCACATTTTCTAAGAGAAAATATGGATTCCAACAAAAGACAACTATTTAAGCAGAAGCAAAAGCTAAACAGTATGAAGAGTGCCTTTGTCATTTTTTGAAAAATAGGAGACAAATTATATACACACAGATTTTGATGTCTTAGAGGGAAAAATCACCTTTTAAATTAAAGGTTTTACTAATTTCTCAGTCTCCAAATTTACCTCAAAAGACAGCAAAGTTATTTATACCTTCTAAATAACGTCAAAAAATTTTTTTTCTTTTCAGGAATCAGTTCAAGCACTAAATTTCACAGCATACCAAATCCAGTGACCTAATCTGTTGACAAAAAATTTTCCAGTACAATTTTAATCCACATAGGATCAGAAATTTATGTATGGCCCTCTTCTGATTCAGTCCTTTTTTATATATTTGATTCATCTGCACAACAGAAAAGATGGAAGTTGGAAAAAATATCTATACAGAACTTGAAAATCAAACATATTAAGAATGCCTAATTACAGATATTTATGACACACAACTTATGATTCTAAAATTACTCTGTAAACAGGCAAAATGAATTTTAAGTGTATTTCACATTAATGATAGAAGCTAAAAGTTTTCATATTTTTTAATAGAAAGAAGTAGGCTTTGATGATTTATTTTTAAATAGCCCTTCATCCTTTTTTTGAAATGCAAGCTTACCTTAAGCATTCATTTACTGGTATACATAATCCATCATAGCATAAACTAATACTACCATTAAAAAAAATAGAATTTTTAAAAGTTCTTTATACTTCTATACAGACTAAACAGTACACAGATCTTTGACTTAGAAGGTTTCCTCAAGTTTGTCAATGTGACAAAGAATCGGAAATATTAACAAGTAGTGGCTAGATATGTTATTATGGAAGAAAAAGTGGATAATTTAAAACACCTACGTTTTGCACTGCCAGTCATTAGCACTAAAAAGGCCCCGGCTCTTTTCTGCAAGTGTCTTTCCTATTTCAGTACCCCCAGCTTTCATCATCTTAGCCTCAGTTGTTTTCTCTGAAAATAGGAAAATGATACATGATTAATCTGGGGAAATTTTAAAAATGATCTGTATACAGTCTTAAAAGAAGCTTCCTTAAATGCTTACCCCGACCACATCTATTACAGCTGGTTCTTCTAGCAAAGTTTACATTTCCACATCTGAAAATAAAGTAAAAGATATTTAGAAAGAGATTTAAAACTGAAGAATTTTTAAAATTCTTTATACACAACTTTTTAATGATTCCTTACTATACACCTACATCCAGAACTTCTCTGACACCATCTCAGTCATGTTAATGTCAATGTTAACTACGAAAAAAAAATCATCACAATTTAGGTGGAAAAAATAAAAGATAAATATAAAATTTAAGTCAAAAGTCCAGGATAAGAAACTCCAATCTTTCACTATCTAGTTACGTGATCCTAGTAAGTCGCTTAAGATTTCTGTTTCAGTGTTCTATTAGCACATATGATCGATGACAACAAAATCCCCTTGGCAAAGCTGAAGTGAGATATCCACTTTAGCAATTACTGAGGAGGCACCACAGAGTTAGAAACAAAACCAAAACAACTTCAAAGTAATTCCTAGTATAGAAAATAAGGAAATACATACAAAAATGTGTTAAGTATGATAAGAAATACATAATCCTAAGGATGGACCAGTGGGGAGAATATAGCTTCATGGGTCTTGATAAAATGCTCTTTTTACAAGCAGAAGATAGAATGGTAAGGAAAGATGATAGGTTATATGGACTAAAAACATACACAGGTTCAATAACTATAAGGAAATGGGAGTTGTGTAGGGGCATTTACCAAACCTCTGAAACCTAGTTGAAAAAAGTAACAAGCACAACCAATAAACCCAATATATGGAGTAACACAGTGTCACTTTATGTTTATATTCATCAAATTTAAGTAAACAAAAAACTTATCAAGTTCATTTACATGGTCTTGATAGTGCATCTGCATATTGGTAAAACCATGTTAAATGCTGAGTGATACACAAAGCTTAAATTTAAAAAAACTGATTACTTTTCTTTGAAAATACATATCTGAATATACACATTGTAGAAATATTCTATTCATCTTTGTAACTGAGTTGAATGCACTTAGACACCTACTTCAAATATTTGTGTATGCTGTCATTAATGACACTGTCAAAGGTAAATCACTGTACAAGTAATCAATCAGTAACATTAAAATCAGAAGTTGTGCTATACCTTTTGAATGGTTTCAATAGTATTTACCACTGAGCAATGGTATTCATAGCATATGAATTGGTCCCATTCAATACTGTCAGATACACACCTGATCCTTCAGATCATCCTAATCTTTATGCAAATAGGCGATCAACTTGTTATGAAATAAACACAATATTTCATTTAAACTACTTACAAGGTGGTCAGAAGTCAAATACCGAGGAAATGTGGACTTAATCTCCGTTACGGACATTAGATGATTTAATTCTCTTAAACTAAAACCAATAGCTACCAATTAAGAGTATCTGCTGTATTTCATTGCTCTACACACTAAGCTATCCTATATTCATTGAAAGGGAGCTATTCTATATCATTTTTTTAATAGAGTTAAATAACCTACTTAAAGTTACATATCTGTAAGCAAGGGAACTGGAATTAAACCCACATTTGTTTGCTTCAAAGTTTCTCTGTGAATTTTTATCTTTGGCTAGCCTAAGGACAAGAAATCTGAGACTTTTATTAGAACGTGAGTTGTGCGTTCAATTTTTGGACAACTATTTTCCATGTATTTCCAAACAGGTACATGTATTTGGGCACCCTCCGAAATAATCTAGCAATTTAATAGAGCACACAGACTTCAGCAGCAATGTCAAAAGGCTGAGCCACTAAACACGTGCTTCTCTGCTGCAGGCATCTCCAGGCAAGCAGAAACACAGGCCTCCTGCCTTTCGGCTCTAAACAGGCGAAACGTTCGATTCTCGTGGGGAAATTAAAGATTACTAGAGAAAAAAGTCAGAATCTCCTAAATCCAAGAAGGGTAGCGTTTAGGGGCAAGTATAAACAGTATGGGAGAAAACGGAAATTAAAAAGCAAACAAACAAAAAAACAAAAAAAAACACAACAAGGCGAATTATGAAAAAACGAAAAACGAGTTCGAGAAAGCAGCTTCCCGCGAACAAAAGTAAAGTTCTGCAGGAAAAAGTCACGTGGGGCAGATCCAATAGCAAGCTGGCCACGACTCTGTAGATTTCCTTATCGCTGAAACCTGGCCGAGGCGGGGGTGGGGTGTGGGGGCAAAAGGTAGGCCATCTCGCTCTCGAAAAAGAGGGGCTGTCTTGGAGAGTTAATGTCGAGGAAACTTGGGAGACATTCTCAAAACAAAGGCTCCCGAAATACCTCATCGAGAAGAGGCTGGAGCCTCCTTCCCGCCTGGGAGCCGGCGGTTCGCCTTCTCAACCCGGCCTGAGGTACTGGAGACCATAAAAACGGAAAACGCCGAAACAACCCGAGAAAGCCTCCACCGTTAAACCCTACCCCAATTCGGGACCCTTCATGAACTCACTTTTTGTCAGGGCAAATCCAGTCACCGTCACTGACTCGGAAATTCTTAGTCGACATCTTGGACGCCGCCACCACAGCCACCCGCAGCTACGTCTTCGCAGGAGGAAGCGGGCAGGGGACTTTCGGCACTCCGGGGCTGTCTCCAAGACGCCTGATTCTGACGCACCACTGCACCAGGCTTGATAATGAGGACACTCGGCCGGGATTGAGTTTGAACGTTATTGTCTAAAGTAAAATGCTTGTGCGACTGTTTCCTGGCCGAAGGAATTATAGTGCAAATGTATTCTCTGGAGCTAAACTAACAGGCGCCGCAGGGACAGCCAAAGCGGGAGGCCTTCGTGGCACTGGAAGCCTCGGAGAGCCCCCTACAGGCGGGAGGACCCGAAAAGAAAATACTTCCGCTCAGCTGGGCGGAGCTAGGGAGCCGAGGTGGAAGTGGCTGTAATCAGGTTTGAGTTTGGGATGGCGGGCTGCTTAGGCTAGGTTTAGGGGGTGAGGTATGGTGGACTAGTGAAGTATTTGTAGAAGTTATTTTATTTTATTTATTTATTTTTAAAAATTTTTTTAACGTTTATTTATTTTTGAGACAGAGAGAGACAGAGCATGAACGGGGGAGGGGCAGAGAGCGAGGGAGACACAGAATCTGAAACAGGCTCCAGGCTCTGAGCTGTCAGCACAGAGCCCGACGGGGGGCTGGAACTCACAGGCCGCAAAATCATGACCTGAGCTGAAGTCGGCCGCTTAACCGACTGAGCCACCCAGGCGCCCCTGTAGAAGTTATTTTAATAAAGGATTGGGAACTCTATTCTTTAATTATGCACTTGGTACACGGGTGTCATTTAGAAACGTACTCTTTTTTGATACATACTTAGATGTAACAAATAGGCAATGTACACGTGGGAAACCAGTACTTTTAGAAGTAGGGTATTGCCAATATTGTTAAAAAATTACCTGTGTCTTTTACCCCTTGCATTCCTCCAGCGGTAACATTCTCCTCTGTTTGAGGTTTAATCTTTTGCTTTTTGAAAAGTTAGTTTATGTATGTTTAACTTACAAAATGTTGAGCTTTACAGGGATAGTTGGTTGTTAAGTAATTTGCAGCTTCCCCCCCCCCCCCCCATTCAACAGTATACTTCCAAATTCGTTTTAGGGTGTCACAAATATTTGCATGTAGCTGTAGTTCCCTAATTTCACTGCAATATACTGGTAATATTTCTATGTGTGACAGTTCATCCCTTTTATTTACCAGGTTTGTCATTACAAACAACGTCGGTATGAACCTTCTTAGAATGCACGGATTCAGTTACCAGAATGTAAGGATTTTTCAGAGTACAATATATATCTAGAAAGACCATTTTTCAACTACTTTCTAGTTATGATATCTGTCTTAAAGTCTTTAATAATTATAACATCTTAGTCATCTAGGATTTGGCAGCTGGTGATTTTGTTTTTCCTTGAAAACTGGTTATATTTTCCCACTTCTTTGTATACTGTTATGTTGCATAGACTCTGGGTCCTATTCAAAGCCTTTGGGGTAAGTTGATCATTTTGTTTTGTTTCAGGAGTCAGTCAGTTTGATTCAGATCAGTTTGATTCAGATCCACAAGTTAAGTCTCACCTTCTGTGGGTGCTGGGCCCTATCAGTTCAGTTTTCAAAGGCTTTGTTATTCTGCTTTGAGTCTGTCCTGTACATACAACCCTCAGTGATTACTTTAGAACTTGGGCAGTACAGTAGTCCCCCTTATCTGAAGTTTTGCCTTGTTTCAGTTACCTGTGATCAACTGTGAGAAGCAGATGATCCTCCTTCTGACTTATCCTCAGAAGGTCAGTAGCTTAACACTGTGTTATCGATGCCTGTCGTTCACCTCACTTCATCTCGTCCTGTAAGCATTTTACCATCTCACAACATCACAGTACAAAAATATATTTTGAGAGTGAGGGAGAGACCACATTAACAACATTTATTACAGTATATTGTTGTAATTGTTCTATTTCACTATTAGGTCTTGTTGCCTAATTTATAAGTTAAGCTATAAATTATAGGAATGTATGTATAGGAAAAAACAGTATATATTGGGTTTTATCTGTAGTCTCAGGCATCCACTGGGGGTCTTGGTCTTATTTCCTATGGATAAGGGGAGACTACTGTAGTTTAAATTGCAGTTCCGTTCACATGTCTTTTGCCATACAGCTTGTGTCTTTGCTAAAGATGCTTAGTTCATGTGTGAGAACAGAATTTATGTGGGTTTATGCATAGAATTAGGGGGATCCCCTTCTACATTCTCCCCTTGTGATATTCCATTCATGCTCTTTTTTGAAGGGTCCCCTTTTATTAATCCTTCTGCTAGAAATATGAGGTTTTTCTTGGGAGTTTTAGCTGCCTTCCATAGTTGCAATAGCTGACTAGGGCCCACATTGGGGCAAAGAGGTGAGAGAAAAAAATGTGGATTCCCTCTGTACTCTTCAGATCACAGAGGCCTCCTTTCCCAGCTCCCTTCTTTAGAAACATAGGTGTTCTCTTGGTCCAAGCCTAGGCCTCAACTCTCAGGTCAAAGCCCAGAGGGAGAAAAGGAGGGGAAAAAAAGCCAGGTATTCTCCCACAGAAGCTCCTTTTCTCCATTCATCTTGCTAGAAATATACGATTTCTCTTAATTTTTAATGCCTTTGCTACCATTAGTTTTACTAGATGTCAGGCCTCACGTCAAAGCTGTGAGAGAAAATAGGAAAAACAAACAGGGCATTTCTCCAACTTTTGATTCTCACCAATCTGCCGTTTTTAATTTACTTTTCAGAGCCTTCAGGTAGTTGCTTTTTGTATTTTGTCCTGAGCTTTTAGTTGTAATCAGTAGGAAAGAGTAGTGTAATCATCTTGACTGGCAGTGCAAATCCAGGGAATGCAAATTACTACTACATATCCATCAGAATGATTAAAATGAGAAGTTCAGACAATTTCAAGTGTTGGACAGGGTGTGGTACAACAAATTCTTATATATTCTTATACATAGTGGAAGTGTCAATTGATGTATCTTCTTTGGAGAACATTTTGTCAGAGTCTATTAAATCTGAACACCTGCATACCTTATGATGCTGAAAATCCACTCCTGAGCATACTCCCAACAGAAATGCACATATGTTCACCAAAGATGTATATAATAATGTTCATCGCTACACATTCCTAATGGCTCCAAACTAGAAATTCCCAATTGCTTATTTATGATAGCCTGGATAAATAAATTGTCATATATTCATACACTGGAATACCATCTATAGTAATGAAAATAAATTGCAACCACATTAAACAGTGTGGCTGTCACTCAAAAGTGTAATATTGAATTGAAAAAGCCAGATACAGGATGCCTGGGTGAGTCAGTTGCTTAAGCGTCTAACTCTTGATTTTGGCTCAGGTCATGATCTCACAGTTCATTAGATTGAGCCCCATGTTGGGCTCTGTACCAACAGCACAGCCTGCTTGGGATTCTCTTTCCCTCTTTCTCTCTGTTCCTTCTTAGCTTGCATGCTTGCTCTCTCTTTTTCTCTCTCTCTCTCTCTCTCTCAAAATAAATAAATAAATAAACATTAAAAAAAAAAGAAAAGAAAAGGCCAGACACAAACTAGTACATTTACATGAAGTTCAAAAGCAGGCATAACTAATCTAGGATAATAGTTACCTTAGGACATGGAGAGAAAATAGCAACATGGGGGTCTTTTGGGATCCTGGTAATATTCTTTGTCATGATTTGGGTTCTGGCTACATAGGTGATCTTCATTTTATAAGATTTCATTGAGCTGCACACTTATGATTTGGGCATTTCTTAAAAGAAGAAGTTTTAAAAATACTTATATTTATCCATCTCACCATATCCCACCTATCCCCTCATTCAATAGATGCTTGCTAAATATTATACCAACTTCAGGGACAAAGAGAGTGATCACAGACCTGCTTATGACATGGTGAGTATCACTAGTGAATACCTTGTGGACCTAATGGTGAATGAGCTTTCTTATAGTTGTGATATTGAGTCTACCATAACTCATATTAAGGCATATTACATGGCTATTAAGAAAAAAAATCTTTTGTTGGTTCTAGAGTTACCTGAGAGTTTAAGGTGGCAATGATCCAGTCTCTGAGGTTTACATTTGTAGATTCAAGGAGAATTTTCTTAAAGTACAGATAAATCAAGCACATTTTGTTTTTGCATGTTCAGTCACATTCGGGGAAAAAAAAAAAAGAAACCTCGCTTCTCAAAAACAATGAAAAATAACTTTTTATAAAGTTCCAAATCATAAATTCACTGCAAGAGTCATCATTGAGATATAGTATTTTTTTTTGGTTGAATTGTTTCCCTAATTATGGTACATAAATCCTTGTATTATCAAATATGTGAAATTGTGACTTAACAAGCAACCATAAAAAAGTTTGCTCTTGAAATAGTTTTAAACAAAAGAACAAGGAATTTAAATAAATAAATAAGGTAGTCAGTGAATTTAACACTCACGCCTAAGAAATTCCCTAGTTTTAATCTAGGAGCTTGTGGAAAGTAAAATTTACTTCTTAGGTCACGAGGACAGTAGTGACCTTAGGCAATGTTGTGGAATCTGAATTTGTGGCAGTGCTTAGTGCAATATGTGCAGATATTCCAGGATGGAGGGTCAGGGTGGTGATAACCTCCAGAAAGGTACTCGGAATTTGGAAATGGTAATAAAATACCGTCATTTGAGGTTGGAAGGATTAGCATGAAATTAATTAATTTCAGCCATCTGAAAATAGAATTAACTCATGCTAACATCTGATTTGTAAGGTGCACAAAAATCTCCTATATCCAGTCTGTGTTTTTGAGGGAATTCTTGTGACAGGTAATAATAGTTACCATTTATTAATCACTATATATTCAGTAGTGTGCTAAGAGCTTTACATCCATTATCACATTTAGAATCCCACCAATCTTTAGGAAAGATATTGTTAGCTTTGTTTACAGATAAGAAATCAAGGTTTAGAAAGTGTAAGTACCTTGTGAAATGCTATAAAATGTAACATACGGTGACTCTGGAGTCAGATTTCTTGGTTTCCAGTCCCAGTTCTATTGCCTGTCAACTATGTGACCTCAGACAAATTACTTAATCTGTGTTTTGTTTTTTCATGGAGGAAATAAAGATGATGATAATAGTACCTGTACTTTAGAATTGCTCAAAGGATTAAGTGAAATAACTCACTTAAGGTACTTGATAAACAGAAGTCAATAAATAATGGTTATTATTAAATTAGAGGCTCACAGTAATGGATGTTAGAGCTAGTGAATAATATCCAGTTAATGTACGAAATTCAATCAACTGTAGTTAGTAAAAATTTTCTGGGAGAATCATATGTCGTCAGAAAAATGGTTTGGTAACAGTGGACAAAACATAAGACTATATCTGGTAATGACCAAAAGAGAAGGCTATTTGAGTTCAAGGATTACAACTAATTTTCAAAGAGAAGTAGTTCTAAAATAGAAAAGGAATTTCTATCCAACTTGAAAGAAAACTCCCTTAAGACTACCCATTCTCTTTCTTCTAATTACACACTCACCAGACAACCTCTGACTGATCATTTTCTCTCCTGAGTACATTTAAACCACCACAGCAAAATACCCAGAATGAATTCTCCATACTCAGTATTCTTTTAGATTTAGCTGTCTTTGTAGATTGATAAATTGACATTCTGAGGTGCATATCACTTTCGTATGGGTCCTCTTAACATGTTGATCCCCAAGAGGTTAATTAACACTGGTGGAAATGATAAAGTTGAGTCCCTGAACCTACAAAGCTAAGAATCTGGCTTTGGATATTGTACTACAGCTCTTTATGCTTACAAGTAACAAAAATCACAATAAAATGTCTTAAACAGCAAGAAGGGGAGGGAGTTAATATTACAAAGAGAAGGCGTTTGATGGAATAGCAGGGCAAGAGTGCAAAGCAGATTCAGGAGACTGAAAGAAGCATGCTTGCACTCTTTCGGCAGTCTCTTGCCACTACCTCTCTGCTTACACATCATTCTTTTCTATCTATAGACCGGCTTTCCCTGCCATAGGACATTCATAGGACAAACAGAAGTAGTACATACTGACTTTAGATCTGAGTAAGTGGGGCTCTCAATGAACCCTGTACCCCTGGGAGGCCCGCCCTTTGGAGAAACTTCTTCAAATGTTCTAGGTCCCCTCTGGTGCCCTGGAGCCGGAACCTAGTCCTGTGTGGATCTTGGCAATGGAAGCCCTGGAATGTTCTGTTGTTGCTGGTGGTGGGGTTTGGCCTGGTCAACAGGCCCTTCTGGGTGGGATGCTCTAAACCTGGACCTGGACCTTAATGGCCTCAGTCCCTGTTTCTCCCTAGCAGAGTCCTCTCGACAATAATCCACTCACACTGCCCGGGGTCCACCAGGTGCTGAGGACTGGGACCAAAACCAGTGGGTATGGGCTCGGGTTGCATGGCCCTTTGCCTGTTGCTGGTGAGCCAAAGCTCCCACTGGCCAGGGCAGTATTTCTTTCATGAGACTGCACCAAATTTAGCTGCCAGAACAGGGCTGATTCACTGATTTGGGGATGATTTTCAGTAACACCGACAGAGGACAAGTTGAGGACCGCGGCTACCCACTGTCCTCTTTGGGCTGCCTGTGTGAGCTGGTACATGGGCACTTTACCTGTCTGTGTTCAGATCCAGGAGCCTCCTCCTGAGGAGCTACTGAGAGAGGTACGGGTAACCCACGTGTCTTTTATACTGGGGTCCTCCCCGCCACCCCGGCATTGGTGCCAGGGCAGTCACACCACCCTTTTGCAAGCTATGTGTTATATGTCAGGTAATTCTGGTCATGGCCATTCTTGTCCCCTCCCAGAACTTTCCAGACTGTAGTACTGCAAAGTCAATGTCCCCTTTCTGTCAGTCATTTTTTGCCTTTTATCAATGTGGTGACATTTTGCTGTCCTGGATTGGTCTCAAGCCCTGTGGGGCATGTGATAGATATGGCTTACCTGAATGGGACTTCCCTTCTTGCTCTGCCTAGGGCCCCTCATCAATCCCCACTACTGGTAACTGGTATGTGGAAGGCAGGGTAGAGATCAACAGTAAAAAGGTCATGTTCTAGCAGTGCAGTGATCAAGGCTTAGTTCAAGAGAAGACATGGTTGGAAGATGTGTTGTTCTATGTTAATGCTTTAAATTCCATAAATAAACACTATAAACTTCTAAATGATAAATTTAACATGACCATAAAACAGAATAATTGTTTTCATTTTCCTGCATCCTCTGGGTAAGACTTGCATTTGTGGTCATCATCAACAAAGCACATTAACAATATTTGAGAGTCATTGGAAACCATTATTCAAGGGCAGTACAATGGGTGTTGCCATGAGATGAGTGATGATGTATCAGAATTCATTAAATGACATTAGGAAAGTGCAGAGGCCAGAAGATCTATACTGTTTCAATTTTAAAAGGTTCCAAAGAGCCATAGCATGGTGAATAGTAATAGTGTTGGTACCTTTTCCTTGCAGTGGGATATATGAAATTAGCCAAGAATGGTATCTTTGACAATAAATAACACAAAGAAGTGGATCCTGCAAACTAGGAAAAGTTTTCATGTGCATTGATTGGACAATAAACATCTGTGTTGGTACCTTTTTCTTGCCCTAAATTTTAATCAATAAACCACTATACCTCACATGAGCCCATGATTTTTGTAATTACTTTTATAATCAAATTGTTGCTATTGATGGCTTCTACCCTGCACACCCCCACATATTTTCCCAGGGCCTTGTATACCTTAGAGGGAGTACTGGACAGAAGATAGTGTTAAGAAAGCTTCTACCTTTGTATCTCTTTTCCATTCCAGAGATTCTCAACTGGAATCTCTTGGCCCCAACTTCAAATTTTCAGACAAAGGCTCTGGCTGTGCTAACTTGGTCCAATCAGCCATGTCAGGTGGTCAAGGGCATGGTGTAATGTACAACCCTGACTGCTAGGATGAAAAGGGAAAAGGATAGCACCCAGAGAAAAGAAAACGCAGTTGGTTTTTGTGTTAGTTTTCTAGTGCTATGTAACAAATGACCACAAACCTAGCAGCTTAAAGCAATGTATTTTATTATCTCTCAGTATCTGTTGGTCAGAGGTCTGAGCATGGCTTATTTTCTGCCTAGCATCTCACCAGACAACAATTAAGTTATCCACTGGGGAGACCATTCCATCTGAGGCTCTGAATCATCTTCCAAGCTCATACAGGCTATTGACAGAATTCAGTTCCTTGCAACTCAGAGTCTCATTTTCTTGCCAGATGTCAGCCAGGGCCAGCTCCTAGAGACTGCCCTTAGGTCCTAATCATATGACTCTCTTCTTACAGCATGGAGTTTACTTCTCCAAAGCCTGAAAGAGAATTTCTCTACAGTCTATTCCTGCTGCTGCTGCTGCTGCTATCACCGTTACTTTTATTATTATTTACTACCACCACCACTACCACTACTGTAGGCTTATATAACGTAATGGAATCAAAGGAGAAATGAATCCATCACCTTTGTCACGTAATGGAACCGGATCAAAAGAGTGGCATCCCATCATATTCACAGGTCCTGCCCACACTCAAAGGGAGGGCATAATACATGTACACCAGGAGGAAGAATCTTAGGAGCCATCCTAAAATTCTGTCTACCAGGGCTCTTAAAGATGGCCACTACAGTTGCCTCTATCTTAAAGCACTGAGAAATATTTAAACTGTCTGTCCTCCTTATTCTCTTAAGAACAACAGTTTAGGGGTGCCTGGGTGACTCAGTCAGTTAAGTGTCCTACTTCACCTCAGGTCATGATCTTGCAGTTTGTGGGTTTGAGCCCTGCATTGGGCTCTGTGCTGCCAGCTTGGAGCCTGGGACCTGCTTTGGATTTTGTGTCTGTTTCTCTGCTCCTCCTCAATCACACTCTGTATTTCTCTCCTTCCAGAATAAATAGACATTGAAAGAAAAAGAAAGAAAGAAAGAAAGAAAGAAAGAAAGAAAGAAAGAAAGAAAGAAAGAAAGAAGAAAGAAAAAGAAAAACATAGTTTAAGGGGCACCTGGGTGGCTCAGTCAGTTGAGCGTCCGACTCTTGATTTTGGCTCAGGTCATGATCTCAGGGTTTATGAGATAGAGCTAGCTCCATGTTAGGCTCTGCGCTGACAGGACAGAGCCTGCCTGGGATTCTCTCTCCCTCACTGTCTACCCCTCCCTGCCTCACACTCTTGCTGTTTCTCAAAATAAATAAACTTAGAAAAAACAAGAACAACATAGTTTACAATATATTCATTGTAAAGTATGAATATATGAATATTCATAGACATTCAAGTCTCAGGTACCGGAAATATACATCTCTGGGAATATTTTGTCACACAGAATTCTTTTTCTACAATTCAGGGACAAGAAATTATTAAACGTTTATTTAGTACACTTACAGTTTGACATTCTTAGAAATTCAGTGGATTAAATGATGTGAGTATATACACACATACAGTTCACATATTGCCTACAACTTAAATTCTCCTTTTTTTCAGTGCAGACTATTAATAGGGAATTTTTGCCAGCTGGTGTTTCAGAGTTCTTTATAAATTAATTATTGTATTTACTAGCCATGTGGGAGTGGAGAAGTCTAATTGGGTCAAGGAGGCTGGTTCTGCTGGAGACTGAAAGGCAAAGCATGTATAAGGTATCAGTTGCAAATCTAATGCAGTGCTTTTTTGAACACGTATGTTAGAAAAGGGAACCATACTGAAATTACCTGCATATTTATGGAAAAATCACATAATTAGCATACACATTTATTGAAATTTGCCATCAATCTATGGCAAAGACAAAATATTTTAGCTGACATGAAACTGCACAGGTGTCCCATGCCACAGGAGGAATGAGATGCTTGATGCTAATAGCACATTCATTCACTCATTCACGCACTCACACAACAGGACCAGGCTAGATATTATAGCTACAAAGAGGACAATATCCTAGCCTAGTGCTCACAGAATGCTGGTGAATATGGATGTGTAAAGAAATAGAAAAAATCTGATTGTTGTGAGACTGACTTGGTAATCCAATTCCGTGTGTTATTTCGACTGGCCATGGTAATTGGTTGAAGAATGAATGAATATGCGAACCAGGAAAGACTGATCAGAATATTCCCTAGGATTCATTTAGGAATTCATTTGGGAGAGAAAAGTTCTCTCTCTATCGGAGTTCTTAAGCTGGTAAATGTGGGAGTGAGACACACCGCAGAGAGAGAGCTCACCCACAAAAGGAAGCCAAACAGACACACTAAGAACTGATGGATGGAGACACTTAAAGAGAGAGGGGGCTCCTGGGTGGTTCAGTCGGTTGGGCATCCGACTTCGGCTCAGGTCATGATCTCACGGTCCGGGAGTTCGAGCTCTGTGCTGACAGCTGGGAGCCTGGAGCCTGCTTCCGATTCTGTGTCTCCCTCTCTCTCTGCCCCTCTCTTGCTCATGCTCTGTCTCTGTCTGTCTCTCTCTCAAAAATAAATAAAGATTAAAAAAAGAAGTAGTAAGGGATAGGAAGAGAGAGTGAATTCTAAATATAGCATTTGAATCTCTGAATTTTTTCTGTTAAAAACTCCTGAATCCCCTGGACTTCCTACATAAGCCAAGTCAACACATTCTTCTTTTACTTAAGCTAGATTATACTGGGCTTCTGCCACTTGCACCCACAAATTCTGACTAATATTCTAGCTGGAATTTGGTACAGACCAGACTAGGAGGAAGAACTGAGAGCTCAGAAACAGATGAGTCTTCCAGGAAAGAGTAGTTCTCAGAGATAAAAATCGGATAAGAAACAAAATACGTATCATAAAACTATTGAGAACTTCCACCCCTGGTTCACACATAAACGTTATTGAAGGACTAAATAAGATTGCAACTCTTACAACAATATTTTCAACCACTTTATCCTGAGCAGTATGGACGCACACTCTTCTGCCTTCCTTTTCTTTTCCCAGCTGTTCACCGTGACCAAGTAAGACAGTGTTTTCCAGCTTTGGCTTTGGCTTAGGAAGCAAAGCTGTTTTAGAAATTGTCGCTTTATGTTGTAACTACCTATTTGTTTTATATATTCCCAATTCCTTACAGATAGGAGATAAATCTTATTTATTTCCTCAACCTCAGCACCTGGAACACAGTTAGTGCTCAATATTTGTAGAACAAAGAGAGGGGTTTTATTTTTGCCATCATTGAAACTATGCACAGGCGTGACCAAGGGGAAATTGCATGGGCTTGGTTCCTTCCCACTCCGTACCAAATGTGCATAATTATATTACTTGGTATGCACCAAACTGTTAGCTTATGATGAATACTTTCATAGTTAAGGCATGCTGCTAACGTTTGTGGTGAGCAAGGAGTGACTACCCTAAATTGTTCCACAGTTTAGAGTAGTGGTTAAAATCACAGGCTTTGGAACTAGAATTCCTGCTCTGTTGCCTGCTTTGTAACCTAGGTCAAAGTGCTGTGTCTCAGTTTCCTCATCTGTGTAATAGGAATAAAAATATATCATAAGGTTGTTGTCAATATTAAATAAGTACTATGTTTAAAACTGTGGAAAAAGAGTGTCTAGCACACAGTAAGTGCCATGTGTTTGCTGTGATTATTCTTATTGTTGTTCTCCAAGCCTCACTTTTATAATGGTAAAATGGGTATAAAATTACGTCTGTGGGTAAATTGCAAATAAGATAATGCATGTAAAATTCTTGACAGTAAATGCACAATACAAAGCAAGTATTAATAACTATTATTAGGATATAGTTAGATTAATTGGAAGTTAGCATGTGCACCAAATGTGTGTTACCAACTTTCAAAAACAAAACAATAATAGGACTCATTAAAGTGTACTTGCACACTCTTAAGTAGTGTAATGTTGTAGTTAATGTCATAGGCATGGAAAGCAGTTTGCCTGGGTTCAGATCTCAGCTCTACTACATATTACTTGTGTGATCTTGGGCAAGTTACTTAACTTCTATGGGTCGCCTCTAATAAAATGAGATTAATGACAGTGTCTGCTTGATAATGTAGCTCTGAGGATTAATTGAGGCAATGCCTCTAAAATAATAAACACGATGCCAGAAAAATAGTAAGCAGGCAATAAACATTAGCTTATTATTGCTCAATCACTTTCAATGGTAAAAATGAGGATGTAAGTGTCTACCTGACCAGACTGGAATGTGGATAAAATATGATAATGCCAGTGAAAATGTCTAGTAAATAGGAGATATTTCATAAATGCCACTTTTCTTTCCCATTTTTATGATTCAGGAGACAACTCAGAACTTTACAATGCCTTAAGGTTATCAGTATAAATATCAATTGGATTTCTACATGTGCGGTTATAGGACAGAGAGGATCAGGTAAAATTTGATCAGTGACACATACTAAGTGTTGTTTATTGAATAAATATCATTTAGACCATTCAGTTGGCTTATTAGCTGTTCTTTCTTATTAAAGAAGATTGTGCCAGAAATACCCTGTTTTTGTATATTCGTTTGATTCAGGTCACAGATAAATGGCGATTTGCTCTGTTCAGAGAAGGATAGAAAAGTAGGCTGGTATTTCAAGTTTCTTACAGCGAACATGGTGCACAATCTGCTAGAACTGAAGGAGAATGTTATTAATCAAAAGGTGCATGAGGAGGCAAAGGACTTCATTATGCTGTTTTGCTCCCACAACTTGCACCTGGAGCTTTTTAATGAATGTGCCCTTTGGAGACAGGTGGCACTCTGCAAAGCGTAAACCTCTCTAAACCTCTTCTTGTCTCAAACTGACACGTCTTCATGGCACTGTGAATAATCAATCTAAGCCTTAAATGATGTGAAAGGCTTTGGTAGGACTATAATTAGTTGAAACTATTTTTTTCTTGGTCTTTAGGAGTACACATGGCTAGAACAAGGGAAAGAAAACATCAAGAAACAGCTGGAAAAAAGAAATCATGTATTCATTGAAAAAGGCAAGCCTATAAACAATGATATTGTGTACTGGGTGAACAAGTACAGTAGATGGCAGTTTAGTAACATCCAATATCGTTTTGTCATGTTTAGAAGTCATCTTTTTTTTTTAAAGAATATGTAAAAAATATGCATCTTATGTTTTATATATTTATTGTCATCTTTTCTGGGAAAAGTTCTGTGTGTGATCTCTGTTGGCTTAGAGAAACAGAATTGTTATAAACTTGTCAAATAGTACAGAATATAAAAGGGACATTGGGGTGCTCTGGGATTTTTACACCACATTTTATTAGCATCTCATTCATTTTGAAGCACATAAAGATTTTTTTTTTTTATTTGAAGCAATAAAACTTGGGAATTACTCTCAAGTAAAATAACACCACAACCAACAATTGATTCCTCTGAAAACCCGGATGTAATTTTAGCATTTCATGGATGGTTCTTTAATTGTTAGTTAAAATATTTAGGAAACTAAGAGAGGTGTGGAAAGGGAGCAGAGACAGAGAAGATATTAGGAAGGGAAGGTAAAATTTCCAAGAATTTTTGAATGTGAAAAGGAGAAGAAATAAGAACCTAACCTTTCCTGAGTTACAAGTTCAAGATTGTATCACTTGTTTGTCACATGGAATTCACCAACAGTCCAGGCATTTAAAAAATTCTGATCCCAGAATGGAAAGCTGACAGTTCTTCCTACAATGGAATCAGACCATTACACACGCTCTATTGGTTTAATTGAGCATACATTATATCCTTCAGCAAGAAATCTTCTGCCATGGTACCCTATTTTCTTGGGCACCAGGGCTTGACAGATTTCTCACACAACTAAGCAGTTGAGAATGATACAATTTTGACATGAAATGTGCTTATACTTTGAAAGCCATTAAACAAGACTTGTTTGCTTATAATTTTCTAATAAAATAAAGGGCCTTCTGTGGAACGCAGTTTTAAAAACACATCATAACATTGTAAGTGTGTAGGTCTTGCAACGTTTTTTCTAATTTTCTAGTGACAGACACAGAGTAATAAGATTTCCCTAACAGATGCTTAGTGCTGGGTACTCACATGTCACTCAAGCTGACAAGGTTCTAGGAAAAAACACTTTTGTCACCATGTTACCATTTTGAAAAATGAACTGCACATAATTGCACATAATTCAATTTTGCTTAATTGAAAAGTATAAACTTCACAAAATATAATTTATTAAAGTTAATATGACAGAATTAATTGGAAATATACCCCAAACAACCCACTAGGTCCTGTTCTACAAATTTGTCTGCAGACAAGATTCTAATCCTACGTGCCTGGAGAAAAGCATTAGTTTAGTTTACAATAGGATCATAGAATTTTGAAGTTGGGAGGGAGACTGTGAGGTCTCCTGTTTCAAATTAATACCTACTTTTAAGGATTTTCTTTCTATATATATCCCTGTAAGATTTTAATTTAATTAATATTCAAATAATAAATAGCAAGCACCATTCAAATAATAAATAACAAGCAGGTTGTGAATGAAATGAACATGGTTTCTTCACTCATTCATTCTCTCAACAGATATTTATTGAGCATCACACATAACTGGTATGTTCCAGGAATTATGTTAGAGACTGTTAATGCAAGAATAAATATTTTGCTATTTCTGTCCCTGAGGAGGAAGTCAGAGTATAGCTGGGAAGATAGACAAATTAATAACTATATTGTAGTGTGATAAAGGCTATGATAGGTAGACAGTCGTGTGGGAAGACAGATGAGGGAGCAATCTGTGTCACCTGAGGGTTTTTCAAAGACAACAGACAGGAAATCACATTTCAGCTGGAGCAGGAGTTCTCAGAAGAGAAGTGGAGGCTGAGGATCTAAGAAAGGAAATAGGCATGAAGGCAGAAAAGTATGTTTGGAGGGTGAGTGTGTGAAATGTAGGGAATGTTGGGAAGTGATAGAGAGTCAGACTTGGAAAGTTAATTAAAGGAAAGACTGCAAATATCAGATTCTAAATAGGACAATTGAAAAAATGTGAAAGTGAAGATAGGGATATGATCTGATTTATATTTTTAAAAAACTAGGTTTGTAATAGATATGTTGAAGTGTGTTCTGGTGTTTTACTTGGACAATGGAAGTGACAATGGACAAAGGTATATATATTAAGATATGTTTTAGAAATTGACTGAACTGTGGGCACTTGGATGGCTCAGTCAATTAAGCTTCAACTCTTGATTTTGGCTTAGGTCTTGATCTCACAGTCCTGGGACTGAGTCTCACATCACACTGCATGCTCATGGAGCCTGCTTAAGATTCTCTCTCTCTCTCTCTCTCTCTCTCTCTCTCTCTCCCTCTGTCCCTCCCCTGCTCACTCTCAAAAGGAAGGAAGGAAGGAAGGAAGGAAGGAAGGAAGGAAGGAAGGAAGGAAGGAAGAAAGGAAAAGAAAGAAAGACAAAGAAAGAGAGAAAGACATTGAACTTGGTGGTCAGTTGCTTGGGAGAGGCAGGTGCTACAGGAAAGGGAAAAGTGGATGACTTTAAGAAGTGTAGCTGGCAGGATTAAGTTTGAGGATTTGGACAAGCACTTATTAATCCTCTTCACAAACTTTTGAAGGTTATAGCAGATGAGAAAAACTGAAGTTTTAAAAAGTTAACTAATTTGATAAGGTTACCATATAGGTAGTAATTTATGGAGACCAGATTCGAGCATATTCTGTGCAACTAATCCCAGAAGCCAACTTCTTAACCACCATGCTGACTATTTCTTTCTGTACTTATTGAGTGGGCAGTGATACCATTTACCAGACTGGGAAATAAAAAAGAAAAAGTTGTGACTAGAAGATAATCAGTTTGACCTTTAACATCTTGAGTTTGAAAGGCCAGACAGTGGAGATATTCCCAAGAGTATTGGAAATTACAGTCCTGAAGCTCATGAAAGATGTGGAGTCAGAAAGTTCAGATTTGGGAGATATCAGTGACTAAGAGTGTAAGAGTGACTCAATGGCCCAACGAATAGGCATAGGGAAGAGGATTGAGCAAAAAGCTTACAGTGGCAGTGGAACAAAGAGTCAGGGGAAGGAGACTGAGAAGGAGCATTCAAGTGACCTAAAGGGAAACCAGCATAATACATCTTCCACATAAGTCTGTGAAGTGAAGACCTAACTTTTTTCCTTTGAGTATACATTGGATAGAAGGTTGAACCATTGTCTACTTAATTGTCCATTATTGCACTAAGAGCATCCTTACAACTGAAAAATTGTCACTCGTAGTCTCTTTTTTTTTCTGAAGTTCACAATCTCTTCCGATTCAGGGTCACCATCTTCTACTTCACACAAATTCCCATCATCATACTAGACCATGAATCCACATCTTTGACGATGATGGATGTGCCTGCTCTCACCTCAGTTTCTAGACTGTGCTTGAGCCAACTTTACCTCCAATATGTTTCCATATTGTTCCAGGGATTGCTCTGCTTGTGAAATATTTAACCATGAAATTCCAATGACTGAGAATAGGGTCTTCCTGTCTCTTTCCCACTAACTGAATTCAGATTCAACTTTGTTCACATCACTTATTGAGTATGTATCATATGTTGTGTGGAGGATTTAGGATATCTATATCTATATCTATATCTGTATCTATATGTCTATATCAGGATATATATCTATATCTATGTCTATATCTATCTTTCTATCTCCATCTGTATCTAGATCTGTATCTGTATCTATAGATCTTAGCACTGAGACATTGCCCTTAATCTTAAGAATTTCACTAAATAGGAAGGGAGCAGATATGTAAACATTTTTTTGCCATCTGGGTACGATAACTAAAAAGACAGAGGTGTATTATAGGAACAGTAGCGTGTATGATGGAAAGTTTGAGCAGTTGCACTTGAGTTGGAAATGGGAGACATGTTATTTATCAATAATTGCCTAACTATACCCCTAAACTTAGAGGCTTAAAATGGCCGTGATTTATTATTTCTCACAATTCTGTGGGTTGACTGGGCTCCCCCTACATTCAACTCATGGTTGGGGTAGGTAGGAAGAGCCAAGAAGGTTTTACTCACACTATGGGGTGTAGGTGCTGTAGGCTAATTCTCACTCCCTGTGGCCTTTCTCTCCACATGATATACTTCAGACACAATAGCTCAAACTTCTTTAGGGCATGGTAGTTGGGTTACATTGGAACCGGCACGGTGCCAATTCTATAGCATTCTGTTGGCTTGCTTCAGAGCAAGGCTCTTTTTGTGGGAGTAATGGCATAAGTGTGTAAGGATGGGATAAAAATTCAGCAGCCAATTTTGTTTTTAACAGACAAATTACCACAGGAGACTTTAAAAAGGAAGAGATGCTTGAGATGAGTCTCAAAAGCTGAGAAGTTCGTCAGGTTAATGGGGGGTTAGAAGAGGATCTCTTCAGGAAGAGCAGCAGTGACATGAAGGCAGGAAGCAACATAGTCATTTGGCTTGCCAGGATATGTGGAATGCCTATGAGCATTTGTGGGAAGGAATGAGAAATACAACCAAGATTATGGAAAGCCTTGTTGTAAGAAGTAAATTGAAATTTACCTTCCAGATAAAGTCTGCAGAATGCCCTTAAAGAGGTTTTATATAGGGGAGCGGCTGCTCTTTACTCTCATTGATTCTTCTACTTTGCAGGCTTTGTGTGTTCTTGATCAATAAGCCTTTGGCTTTCTTTCCTCATTCAATCCAACCTACAACTCATAGTATTCACTTAAACCTCTCTTACCAGCCCAACACTCTCATGACCTTCTTTTCATTCTGTTTTCCTAAACTTCAATTTTAGAATAACCTATCCATTTGTTCTGATCTTAGTACCAGGTATTGAATAATACTAGAGCAAATCACATAGCCATGTTGATGGCCTGCCTTATACATTTATGATTTCTAACCTCTGTTGGGCTCTTAATATTGCCTAGCAATTTTTATATACCCTTGCCCATTCCTTATGCTGGTCATTCCTTACCAGTCTTTTTAAGTTTTGCATTTAATGCTGCACTAGCTCCCCTTAGCAGATTACCTTGACTATTTCACAGAGGAAATAGCTGTTATAGCTGTGAAAAACTTTTTTCACGTCATCTCTTTGAAGTTCACTTATTCTTTCTCCTGGATCAGCCCCTTCCTTTCCTTCCAAATTCCTGTCATCTTCCTGGGA